GGCACTTGTTACTACTAGCTTCTTGTTACTACTAGTAAGGCACCTGTTACTACTAGCGTGGCACTTGTTACCAGTAGCTTCTTGCTACTAGCAATGGCCTCCATCTTCTAGCTACGCCCGAGCATGTGGCCCTTGCCGTCATGGCACGCCCGATGGGCCCATGATCGCCAACAGCTCACCAGGCACCGCAAAGCCGCTCACTTTCCTCAAAATGTGTTTGTCCTGAGGAAACTTTGGAAGCTTCCTGTTACTACTAGCGTGGCACTTGTTACTACTAGCTTCTTGATACTACTAGTAAGGCACTTGTTCCTAGAAGCGATGCACTTGTTCCTAGTAGCTTCTTGCTCCTAGTAGTAAGGCCAGGAGCCCCTAGTAGCGTCCTCTTGCTCCTAGACCGTTGGAGTAAAACTGTTCGGAGTGAAACAGCTGGAGCCGCCTCCACACCTTTCATTGTTGCCACCAGGCCCACGTCCTCGCGAAGGCGTCCATTGTTATATATTGTTTCCTAATAATAGTAAACATGGTTACTACTAGTAAGGCACGTGTTCCTAGTAGCGATGCCCTTGTTTCTACTAGTAAGGCACTTGTTCCTAGTTGCATCTTAATTGGCAAAGCGTCATTCCAATCCACTCGGACGCTGTTCGGCATCTCACTCTTCGAGGACTTCGGGGTCGTCATGGCGTGGACGGGAATTGTCCGTGTCGGTCGCACTTGAGAATCGCTGAAGACCAGAATCGCCGAATCGCCAAAAGCACTTGTTACTAGTAGCTTCTTGTTCCTAGTAGTACGGCCAGGAGCCCCTAGTAGCTTCCTTGCTACTAGTAGTAGTAATGCTCTCGTTACTAGTAGCGTCTGGTTCATTCCGGCAAAGCTTTTCAATGAAGCCAATCAACACTTAGCTCAAGATATCCACCACGTAGAGGTACGAGTGGCTACTACGTATGGTTGGTACGTGGTACGGGTATGCGGTACAAATGCAAAGTGGTACAGGAGGCCATCGCTACTAGGTTGGAAGCCATCGCTATTAGGTTGAAGGCCATCGCTGTTAGGTTGGAGGCCATCGATAGTAGGTTTTGGAAAACACGGAAACATTTCCTTTTTCCTTGGCATTCGGAGAGCCCAGGCCCAAAAACCCAAGCAGGACAATTTGATCACCGTGATCAAGTTCGTGTTCTTCGCTCAACGTGATCTTCGGGAGAAGCGACGAGGCCCTCGAGAACATGGGCAAAAGCTTTAGAAGCAAGGCCCTACAATGCTGAGGAGGACGTTCTCAGGTTTTGATCCAGTCATTGCCTTGGATGCCCGACAAATGCCACTTAAACAGCACTTCCTTTAGGGCGAGTTTCCCTTTGCCTTTTAGATTATGACCAGTTTCGATTCACGAGTCATTGTGCACCGTCAGAGAAGCGACAAGTAAGGCGTATAGGCGCGAGTCGATGAATACTTTCCTTCCGCCGGATCCTCAAATGCTATTTCTGTTCCACCCCCAAGGACCTTGGCACATGCAGCTAGAAGCTACTAGGATGGAGGCCATCGCTAGTAGGTTGGAGACCATTACTACTAGTAGCCAGAAGCTACTAGTAACCATGGCATCCAACACTGCGAGGCTTCGTTCCTACTAAGCTATCCTTTGCACTTCTCAATGAGAGGGACATGATATATTCTTAGGTCTCAGGCCAGTGCGCCTGGCGCAGCACAGGTGGGGTAGAATAGCTAGGACATTTGCAAGGACCTGCCTAACCTTCTTCCAAATCGTCCCAAATAGAATATCAGCACTCAACAAAAAACGCTACTAGTAACAAGGGCATTACTACTAGGAGCTAGAAGCTACTAGTAGCTCCTGGCATTGCGGCTAGGAACAAGAAGCGACTAGTAACAAGTGCCACGCTACTAGTAGCAAGTGCCTTACTAGTAGTAACAAGAAGCTACCAGTAGCAAAGGGCATCGCTAGTAGTAACAGGTGCCTCGCTACTAGGAACAAGAAGCTACTAGTAACAACTGATGCCGCTCGTTGAGACGCGTCATGTCACCGTGTTAGGGGAGAAAGCACGCTGGCGCAAAACGTTGGAACCCGCAGCACTTTCTTTGACTTGTTGGTGCAGCGTTCTCTCTTTCTACAATTCTTGCCACAATTGTATGTTGCCACAATTGCCTCTTGCATCGATTCTGACTGACTTAAACAACGCAACGCAGGTGCATCGCTAGGTAGCTCCTGGCATTACTACTAGGAACAAGAAGCTGCTAGTAACAAAGGCTTCCCTGATGCAACTTTGTCTTCACTTGTCTTGATGTCTCTTGTCTCACTTCATGAAGCCATTTGCTCGGTCGACTGGGTCGAGGCTGAATGCATCTCCCGCCTTGGCGAGGCGATGCCCAAAACGGATTAGGAGCAAGAACGCTACTAGGGGCTCCTGGCCGTACTACTAGGAGCAAGGACCCTACTAGTAACAAGAAGCTATTAGTAACCACTCTGGAGATCTGTGGAGCCAAACCCCAAGGACTCTGATAGCTGTGGTGGAAGGCTGCTAAGACGCCGGGCAAAGACCTGAGCATCCACACAAGATGCAAAAGGCTCCAAAAGCTGTTGGAGGCCATCCCTAGTAGCGTCCTTGCTCCTAGTAGCGATGCCAGGAGCCCTAATAGCGTCCTTGCTCCTAGTAGCGATGCCCTTTGCTCCTAGTAGTAAGGCCAGGAGCCCCTAGTAGCATTTTCAATCACTATATTATTTGATAACATTTGTGCTGCCAGGCTGACCATTCCTGCAGTGGCCACAGCCAAGCAAACGGCGCCAACGAAAATATCGAAACTTCGCCTTAGTGCTAAGAAAAGCTAACAGCGAGCACCTGGAAACTTCAGAACCTAAGAGCGATGGCCTCCAACCTAAGAGTGATGGCTTCCAACCTACTAGCGATGGCCTTGGAGACTTCCAAATTACTTGCAAGTTCAGTGTTTTGTCACTGTTGTCACTTGATATGTCTTGAGAGGAAGGCCACCAGCCATTGCCTTCTTGTCGGCCAATGATGTACCTCTAGCTAGCACGCAGCAATGGTTCAAAGGAACCTGTCTGGTGTAAAGTGGCAGCAGGGACGTCTTTTCAACAAATTTACTGGAAAAGACATCAGTTAGTTGCAAGGAGCATGGCAGACCGGCAGACCTTTTCCTTCGTGTTGCTAGTTCTGTGAATCTCTTCTACGAGCCACCCCGCGAAACCGCAAAGGTTTGCCAACTGTCACTGTGCCTCCAACCTAGGAACAATGTTCGCTACTAGTAGCAAAGGGCATCGCTACTAGGAGCAAGGACGCTACTAGGGGCTCCTGGCCCTACTACTAGGAACAAGAAGCTACTAGGAACAAGTGCCTTACTAGTAGTAACAAGTGCCACGCTACTAGGAACAAGAAGCGCTCCAACCTTCAAACAAACAGACCCACCATCCTCGCCATGCAGGTCCGTGGTCGCACGCGCCGAAGAAGATGTAAACGACACTTCGGCCACTGAGCCGTGTCAAGTACCTTAAATTGGATCGAAAAAGAACACGAGCAAGAAGCTACTAGGAACAAGTGCCACGCTAGTAGTAACAGGTGCCTTACTAGTAGTAACAAGAAGCTACTAGGGGCTCCTGGCCTTACTACTAGGAGCAAGAAGCTACTAAGCAAACAAGTTTGATTAAAGAACAAGCGATGGCCTCCAAAAGGTTAAGTTTGCTTAAGCATGGCTTTGTCAAAATCTTGGATGACTTGAGAACGTAAACGTGGATGTTTCAAGGTGTTGGATGCCCTGTGCTTTTTGCGTCGGACTCTTTGCAGTTCTTTGTTTGGTTTTGTTGAATAGTTTCTATAGATATAGGAATGATCTCCAACCTGCTAGCGATGGCCTCCAGCTTCTTGCGCAAGTTTGCTGTTCGCGTTCGGTGATGCGGAAAGCCTTCAAGTTTCACATCGAACGCGACCTGTGGGATTTTGCGCCATTGCACTCGGGCAATTCAGGCGTGGCCTTACGGCGCGGAGTAGCAAATGTGAAGACATGCACGTAGCCTGCTGATTTCGCGCGCCACATGGACGTTGCAAGGAATAAATCGCCGCAGTCTCGAGCATGTCTCATTGCGCTGTGCAACGCGAACTTGGAGTTTGGACGCTACTAGGAGCGAGGACTCTATTTGGGGCTCCTGGCCCTACTAGTAGGAGCAAGAGGACACTACTAGTAACAAAGGGCATCACTACATATCGCTACTAGGAGCAAGGAACGCTACTAGGGTTTTGCCTTGGGAGAGCAAGGCAAAGTGAGGAGGATGCTCGTGAGCCAACATTGTTTCAATTGTGTTGGTAGTCTATGTGCTGGCGGACCTTGGACCTTTGACAGGAACGTGACACGACGTATATCTTAGAATCTTAGAATTGAATTAGCATCAAATTGGACTTGAATTTATTTCGCATTAGAAGCTACTAGGAGCAAAGGGCATCGCTACTAGGAACAAGAAGCTAGGGGCTCCTAGAAGCTCCTGCCGGGCTGGGCGCCGAAACGGGAAGTTTTCCGAGACCATCGGGTGCGGCCTGATTTCGGCCAAAACGCCTGCAACGCCTGGCGTTGCCACGCGCAGCGTAAAAATAAACTAATGAAACGGATGCATTGTTTGAGTTTTGCTTGGAAAAACCAGGTGCAAAACAAAACACATCAAATCCATAAACAAATCCACATCTGCATCCACACCTGCTCCCCCAAGCAAGATGCATTCAGCTGTAAAGTGCCTCCCAGCTCTGAAGCTCATCCTTTTGCAAAAAGGAAAGAATGCATCTGGGGGCTGTGCAAAGCTTTGAGGAAATGCCCCGCCACAACTTGCGGTAGCAAGTCCTCAGAGAGTCGTTCGGAAAATTGTCACACCCTGTGGGGAGTGCAGCTTGCACCAAGGCGCGGCAAAGAAGTACAGGCAAGCTGCTGCAGCAAGCAGTGCTGAAGCAGCACCTCCAAGCATCAAAACAACTAGCGTGGCACCTGTTACTACTAGCGTGGCACCTGTTACTACTAG